GGGGCCCGGAGCTCCGGCGCTCTCGGCCGAAAGGGCCCCTGGCGCGAGGATGAACCGGCTTCACCGCGTGTGCCCCAGCGCCCCGGGGCGGGGGTGCCCTTCCTGCCTCAGCCGCTGCACGGCCGGGTTCGGACATGCAGGCGTAGGGATTGGTGTTTTCAGCAGTTAATAACAAAGGGGGATGCTCTTCTAATTTTGCTCTATTTTGGCTCTGCCGGAGCAGGGTGTCTGCCTTCACGCTTATGGCTAACGGTCTGAGTGCAGAATGTGAATCAGATGCATATCGAGGTCTCAGCAGTCAGCCTGAGCTTGCATGTGTGACGTGGAGATTGTTGGTGTTAAAGCCCAAATATTTAATGTTCACATGCGAAATTCCTTCTTTTTTTTTTTGTTTTGTTTTTTTGTTTTTGGAGTTGGATGCAACTTTATCCTTTCTGAGACATGTAATCTTGCATTTGGTGTATATTGTCTTGGAGCAAAAGGAGAAGTTTGCTGTGCTTTGATGTGCATTGACATAGAGCTGGCTCTGTAGTAAAGACATTGTTAGTATTTACGTTTCTCAGAATAATAGGTAGCTCTTTGTTGCTGGGGTCTTTTTTCCTTTTTTTTCTTGGCACACAACTGTACTGGCAGAGATTGTTTTTTTCTGAGCTGCTTGCTATTATGCCTCAGTTGAAGATTAGGGCTTTGTATCAGAGTTCTTGCCAAATCTGATCAGGCAAAATTGATCACTGTAAGGTAAACTAAATGGGCAGGGTGAGCAACTCAAGGGAGCTTGACCTGAAACAGTTACATTTGAAAATACTTGTCTGTCAAAATTGTTAAGAATTAGCAGTGTGAGGGGAAGGGAACAGAACATCTGGATCTAAAAGAGTGTCTTGATCAAACGTCAGTATTGCTTTTTGGAAGCCCATATGAGAGGAAAGAAGTTTTTTGAGTCTCTTCTAATACTCTTAACTTTGTGATCATGACAGATTGACATTCTTATGTTACCTGTGCGTGCTGTTTTTTTTTTTTTTTTGTCCCCATGATGAAGCTTATAGGGAGTTAGTTAAGAACTTAAATTTGTTTTGCTTCATGCCTGCTTAGTGCAGGTTTTGTGGGATTAAAATGAGCAAGTTAAAATAATATTTGCTTATTCAAAAACATTATTCTAAATGTACTGCCTGAAACAAGGGAAACTTTTGTCTTGTTGATCTGCACTTGTTGAAAACTGCCTATTGAACTTAAATATTTTTAGTGTTTTTTTCCCTGTTCTAGCTGGCTTTTTAATCTCTTAATAAGTAGAAGTTTAACAGGTGCTAATTAATAGCAGTATGGTACTCTGCATTTTTATTCATGTATTTATTCTTACAAGCAGGGTGAATCTTCACAGCTGTTGGTCAAGGAGTATCACAGAGAAACAGGCCTTTTTACTGCTGCGTGGTTGGTGAAAGAATGTTGAGCATCCCTATGGAACGGTTTGCTTGAGGATGTGTTTGACACTATAAGAAGCTGTTCTTTTGATCTGGGTCTAAGACAGTATTGCCAGCTGTTGGGGGCTTTATTGTGTAGTTCAAGCTTAAGTACTATTCATTGATGTGTCCTGTCAAAAGTTATATTCTGGAGTCTGAAGCCTATGTGATATACCAGCCTACCTAATTCCTCCATTGTACCAATAGCTGTTCAGGTACTTATGCACTTTCTTTTTGTTGATTGATATTCTCTATAGTATGCTTTAGCCAGGTGCAGTGCTTTGTTCTAGTTAAACAAATGTTCTAACATGAAAGTTAAGACCTCACTTCAGTGACCTGAGCTCCCCTTCTTTCCACCTGTGGGGAGTAGATAGTCCTTCTGCCACATGCTTTCTCCTACTGGCGAGAACGCTGCCGTTGCTTTATTTCTACATTTTGGCTCCTTTCTATCTTGAGACACAAACAAAATGCCACTTAATTTTATTGAGGGTTTTTGGTTTTTTTGTCCTATAGTTCTGAATTGCATACTTTGTGCCTTAGCTTTCTTATACTGGAATGCTGAAACAAGAAAAGTTTTAACAGAAGAATCATCTTTGTTCTTGAAAAAGATGAGAAACATAAGCTCTTGACTAGTGAGAGTAACACCATGTTGTCAGACAATTAGAGGGTCTGCGTCCTTCTAAACTTCTTGGCCACTCTGCTTCCTAAATTACTTCTTTAAGAATAACTCATACCTAGATTTTGAACTTGCAACCAACATTTGCTGGGCTTGCCATGATGAGTTTTGTAGATATTTTGAAAACTTTTTTATGTAAAAAATAATTGTAGCTTTTTTTTTTTTAAAAAAAAAGGATTTTCCTTTGTGTTTAACTTGTTAGGCCTAGTAGCTTCCTTCATACAAAAAGAGAGAGGAGATAAGGTAATAATGAGAGAATACTGAACACCTGAAACATAAAATACTTCTTGACAACTGTTACCCTGAAGTGTAAATAGCATTTTGTTTCAATGCTACTGTAGTACTTATGCAAAGTGTTGTTTAAGTTAGAGAAAACTTATGTGGTTTCTAAAAAGGCTCACAAAGGGGAGCAGGAAGTTAGTACAAATAAGTTATTCACCTGATCTTTTGTCAATTTAGGAGCAAAACTTTTAAAATTGTAGGCTTATTTGGCTGCTAGTACCTGTGATTTCATTGATTAGGGGAATACAATAATCATTATTATATCTATGTTTTGTACAGTAACTTAACGCGTTCTCTGCTAAATGTAACGCTTGTTCTGTATTTGCTGTGAAACTTCTAAAATGTGTAGATACCAAATAAATTAAAAAGGCTTAATTTTCCTGGTGGTGACTGATCTCTGATTCTCTCCTTTCCCCCCTTCATCTGTGAAAATAGCTCTGGAAGGTTATTTTTGTAACTTGCTGACGGGTATACAAGTAAGAAAAGAAATAGGTGTGGGTCCTCAATGGCTTGCACCTGTGGGGGAGGATGGCATTTTGGTTAGGAAATGAATTAATACATGTATTTTGTTGGTAAGATAGGGCAAAGTTGTGTTGTTCCTGTGAATGGTTGTGTCTGTGCTTATCACTTTAGAATGAAATAAAGTAACATTGGTTGAGGTTTCTGGTCAGAGGTGTCTAACTGAACTTGCAACCTGCTTTGAAAAGATGTTCTTACATGTTTGTTGTCATCTTTGTGCTGCGTCTAGTATTTGTTATCCCATTTCGGTAGTTCAGGGAGAATAATTAGGCAGAACTAATGAGATGAACTAATGGAGAAAAGTTCAGTTCGCACTGGTCTATCAAGATGTATCGGCTCAGCAAGGAGTTGAACAAATGCTGGAGTTGGTATTAGGGAAGCAGTGGGAGTTATGGAGTTGTAGAAAGAAAGAGGGAGATAGGCTTCCTCTTTCTCTTTGGTGGCAGAGAGCTTGGACTCTGTCTTGTCCAGCTGCATTGTGTGTGGTTCGGGAAAATGAATGATGGTGTGGGAAAGAAACTGAAGTGGGGGGGGAGGATTTTTTTTTTTTTTCCCAAAATAATTATTGCTAATGGTCTTATTTTGTGATAGCTCAACAGGAGGACTTAATTTTGGAACTCTGGGCTCTTCCACTGCTACAGCAACTACATCGGCTCCTTCAGTGGGCTTTGGGAGTGGACTTTTTGGATCGAAATCAACTACTGGCTTTACACTAGGAGGCACCAGTACAGGTAGAAAAAAATCTTGGACAGCAGAAATTTTAATCAACAGTGAAGAAATATGTCATCTCTACACAGAAACTGGGTCGTCATAATGCGCTTACTTTTTTTACAGTAGCTCAGAATATTGCATATGTAATTTTGTAAGAAGGCTTCATTGAACAGTTTAAAAGATCATTCATTGAGAATTGCAGTATCAGTGCTGAAGAAACACAAATGCAGTTAACAGAAAACTGTGCCTGGGCCTATGTGTAAATTGTTCCATAACTTGAATCCTGATGTTTTCTAGAAATCTAACTCTTCTTTCAGGATGCTCAAAATTATGGTTTAAGATTGAGGTATATTTTGATCTGAAAAATATTTTTAAACTTGTGAGATTGATAGTATTTATGATGTGATATTTGTGACCCTGCAGTAGTAAACATTCTGATTTTGGTTTGTGTTTGGTTTTTTTAATGTTAGCAATATTCATTAATAAATTTATTAATATTTTCTTAGGTCTCTAATTCAGTCTGTGTACATATTCTTACAAGAGTATTGGGCTGCAGAACAATAAAACTTTTCTGACTGGAGGTATATTTTTCAGCCATCATGCAGACTTAACTAAATGAACTTTACTTTGTCTCCAATATCGTTAGACAGAATGGTCTTTTTTCTTCTTGTACACTTGTTCTAACAAACAGTCTACTAGAAATAGTCTTGACAGTAGGCTGAAAGCCTGTATTACTGTGTTTGGCTACATGGGGGTAATTTTCTTTTAGCTCTTAATGATTCATTTTATCTTCAAATAAGATTTTTTAAAAATATGAAATGGCATAGCACCATGTTCAAAATAATCACTTTAAATTACCAATGGGGCAGAAATCCTAAACCAAGACACAGGATTTTACAAAAACTTTGGACTTTATAATCCTCCTAATCATACTGTAAATCTGCTGTTTTACATGTTACGTACTGCTGTATGGCTGAAAAAAATACTTGATGGAACTACTAATTTCCATATTTTTTTTACCTTAATTTATTTGAGATTTTGAACAATTTGCTATACCGTGGTGTTAACATAAGCTTCACTTAGCAGATTCTTATAAAGAAAAATGACTGGTTTTGAAGTCAGTTATGTTTTGATTTGTACTGCTGGCGTTTACAGATACTGTTTTCTGTGTTAATGTTGTTTTGCTTTCAATATACTAAAGAAAAATTTGTATAATAGTCCACATTGTCTCATAATTTCAGTGTTTTGTTTCATGTTTTTTACTGTCATAACTTCTCTGTGGTCTTCAATTACTATTCTTATTCTGTTTGTTTTAATTCTTAAAGCAGGAACAGCAACAACTATTGCTACAGGACTGACACTAGGTAAGGACCTAATTTGGATTTTAATGTTATACATGCAAAAAAAAAAAAAGTCCAGATAGATGTGTCTTGTAATGTGGAAATGTGTGAGCTTTTTCCCCATTAGTAATTGCAGTCTGCTTTGCAACCCAGATGTTAAGGCTACAAACCAGAGTGGAGCCCTGCAGTTCTGGGCACTGTTAGTTGTTGGTAAAGGATTCTTCCATTCCTGTACAACAGTGACAGTGTTCATAGTGGAAAGTTAGACTTTGTATTTATGTCCCCCTAATGAGTTTTACCCTTCAGCAGAGGGGAGGTGGAATACATTATCAAGGAACTCTTCATACAGAATTTCTTGGTCTTTGTAGGAACAGGTCTGTTTGGTAATGACTTCTTTTAGAAGAATAAAGAGGGTTGAACTGGGAAGGGAGATTGGGAATATTTTGCTTTTGTTTCTCTGATACGTCTTTTGTGACTGTTTTCCTGTATTTCTAATGACAGATGAAATATGTGGGTAGTTGTGTGTTTTGTTTTCTTATACACCAGCAGCTGAGGACTGAGGAGAAACTGAGCTTGAGTATCACAAAAGTTGGGGGTGGGAGTGATGCTACAATACAGACTGCAGTCCAAGAAGTTAGGAAGCTGTGCTGTGGATAAATAGGAAAAAAAATTGTGTTGGGTAAAGAAGCAAATGAAGTGGGCAGAAGGGGAGGAGCAGCAGCTAGCCCAGAACAGACTATGTGATGTGTAATCATATGTGACCGTTCATACTATGCAGATGAACATTAATTCTCTTCAGTAGCTGAGTGAAATCATGTTCAAAACAGACACACAGCAGTTACTGCTGTTGTGGTTTGTGTATGTATATGCACACTCCTTTACTTTGGAATATGGATTCTCTAATGTCGTATTCTTAACATGAAAACAGCAGGATTCGGAATCTTCATTTGCTTTACTTTTTAAAAAGTGTTCAAAAGCAAAGTTTGAGGGAATAACATTTCAGTGTATTTTTCTTGTTTACAAATTGAAAAGATATGTGCATTCATTTTGGTATGCATATCCAATTGAGAGTTTTTAGTCTGTGTTTTGGGCAGTATTGTTTATATCTCCATCTACCAATACTTTGCTGCTTCTGTTAGATACTCTTAGTAGAAGCTCTTTTTTTTTTTACAGTTCTTTTAGATTACCACTAGATAGAACCACCAGTCCATGGTTAAAGCCCATTGGATCACTAGGAATTCTGGAGCAAAAATGTCTGTGCAATTAATATAAACCTTTGAAATTTATCTGAAGGTGCTATGGGGATATTTTACTTGATGCAAGTGATATTCAGTGACGTGGTACTCATGATGGTTAAAGTGGGAATAGTTCAGAACAGAAGGAGGATTGAACACTCATTCTCAAACAATGTTCTAAGAGTGATAATTGGTTTTGGGTTTCTTTTAGGCACACCTGCCACCACATCAGCAGCTACCACTGGCTTTAGTTTAGGTTTCAACAAACCTGCAGGTTCAGCCACGCCATTTGCTTTACCTGTTACTTCTACCTCAGCGGGTGGCCTGTCATTATCATCTGCTCTTACATCGACTCCTGCAACAGGTAGGAAAATGGTTAGGCAGTTGGGGGGGTTGTTTGTTTGTTTTTTAACAATAAAACTAAACCAGTAAACCAGTTCTACACTCTATATTTCTCTCGTATTTACATAATTTTGTGCTGCTTTAATAAGAAGGTTCATGGACTTCACTATTTCTAAATTTGGGTACCCTAATACAGACAGATTTATGTCTATATAGAGGGCTGTATACTGTGTGATATAGGCAGTTTGTCATCTAAGTCATTAGAAGAGTAGCAAGAGCTGACTCATAATATAAAATCATTATTTTTGTTATTATTAACCCCACTCAAGGTTGAAAGCTTCCCACTTGCGCAGCTGAAAAGTTTGGAAAATGTCTACCTCTTGTAGATGGTCTGAAATGGTTAACTAATAGTGGAAACAAGGTTTTTTTAGTGTAGTTCTCATACTGGCACACACCTGCCGTCATAGTTAACTCAGCTAAACTGCACTGTACATAATGATAATTAAGACTGAAGTTCATTATTCTTAACCTTAGGAGTCTGCATTTGAGCTCAGCTGTCTGTGCCCTCTGTCCCTTTATCTCTACTCAGTTCTTCCCTACATCCCAAAAGCTGGGATGCTTAATTCCGGAAGAAGGCTCAAACTACCAATGAAGTGTTCTTGTGTCACCTGTCTTGCATAAAATATTTTAATGTTTCACGTAAAACATGAACATTTCAGTATTTTAATATCAGTTCAATAGCGCTTGTTAGATCCGTTATGCCATAAAATAAATTGTGCCACATTCTAGATTCTCTAGGGTTCAGGGGAACTCTCAAAAAGTTTATATAGTTGTAAGTATAGACTAATGAAGGTTATGATATTGTAGAACAAAATGATGTATAATTCAAAAGTCTCTATGGCTTTGGAAAATGTGCAGGAAATAAAAACAGTTAAGTTTATTATCTGATTATGGTAAAGATGCTGTTCAGACCTTTCAGTTATTTCAGGTTGTCTATGGATGTATTTGAATGCAGTGTCTGCATGAAGCTGGTTTGCTTTCTCTGCAGGAAATACTGGCTTTACATTAAATTTGGGTGGTACAACTGCGCCAACTACGACTGCATCCACAGGCCTTTCCTTAGGAGGAGCCCTAGCAGGTTTAGGGGGTTCACTCTTCCAGAATACAAGCATGGCAGCAACAGGTGAAAGTTATTTTAGTTTTTTCCTCCTTGTGTCTCAAAACATTGAAATTTAATGTGGGATTGTATAAAATCATAATGTAAGATTTAGTTTATATAAAATCTTAACACTGTGAAAGTGTAAATTTAAAGTGTTACAGTTAAGAACAGCATTGCTATCCATGGACAATAAAAATGAAGTCTGAAATCATTGGCTTCTTCATTCTTAAATTCACTTGTACTTAACACTTTTTTTAAAAAATGAAAACACAAGGAAGTACTTGTCATTGCCATAATGACTTAAGCAAGTTGATCATAAATGGGAAAGGGCAATGATAGACAAGTATCTCCTTTAGCTGTGGAGAAGTTGAAAGCTCCTTATTTTGGTGGCTTTTGGTCTGAGTAAAATCTTTTAGCTGTTATAATTTCATAGCTTTGTGTCTTTTTCAGCTCTAGAGGAAAAATTTATTGCATTGTGTTGTAGTCTTGGTAACACTACTTTTTAACTCTAAATAAAACAGAAACATACTTCAAATGTGGATGATAACTAATTAGTTACCTAGTAGTGAAGAAATTACATAAAATGCATGTGTACAGTTGTATGAAACTTTGTGCAATCTGTTTTTCTGTTTACTTTGCATATTTTTTAATACAAATGTAATAAATGGACACAAACTGCAAACAAGATTATATGTGCTTTTAGTTTAAAATAAGTTTGAAACTTATTTAACTGCAGAAATTCTGTTTGGGTTTCTTGTAGGACTTGGACAGAATGCTTTGGGTTTGACTCTGGGGGCAACTGCAGCTCCTTCAACTACTGCCAGTGAAGGTCTTGGTGGCATCGATTTTAGTAGTTCTTCAGACAAAAAGAGTAAGTTTGTTTTAAGATGTATTTTTTTTAATTGAGAAAATTGTTACAGCACTACAGCAAGGACTGTATTTCATTGTGTTCAGAGTATGGAATTAAAGCTGACAACTTTCACTTCCCCTCCCCCCTTGGCATTTCAGTTAATTTCATTCTTAGATATTGTGCTTGTGTAGAAGAACAAGATTTTGGCTGCAGATGTAATGTAAATTTATTTATTTAAAATAAGTATAAGCCAATATCATACTTGTGAAACAGAATCTGTAAACCCTGTAGCCTTCTGGGAGTGAAGGCTTGTAGGGCCCTTTGCTGGAAAGCCCTGGCTGATATCTGAACTGCTGTATGTTAGAGACATTAGAGGGGAGAGTAGAGCTATGTTTAAGTAATGCATAACAAGTAGTACTGATTTGAAGCCAGCTTTCTGTAACTGTAACAAATCTTACATTTGGTTTGTTTTTTGAAAGCCTGCACAATAAAATGTCCTATTTTTAGGTGTTATTCTTCAAAGGTGTATTTCTGGTGGTGTGTAGTTCTATCTGATACATTCTATCAGGTTGTTAAAGCCGGTTATAAAAGCTTTATCTATGTGAAAGCTTTGAAGTACTTAAGGGAATGTTGAGCATTGACATATGGACGCTTACTCGTTTGTCTTGCTTTTATACTTTCAAAGTAAACTTAACTAAAGCTGATTCTAAAAATGTACATTTTCTCTGGGGAATCTATGCAATTTAATCTCTTGGTTCCATTCAGAAGCCAGATTTTAAATTTGGTATACCAGTAGCTATAAGAGAAGGAAATATAGAAATGCCCTGAAACCATCTTTACAGAATAACATGTGTTGGAGACATAGTTTTTCATACTTGTGGAAGAGATGGCATATTGGCTGTCCAAACTGGAGTGCTCTGCATGATGATTATTTTTGGAGATAATTACTGAAACTGGAAGTCATTAAAAAGCTCTTGATTCCTAGATTCCTATGGGATTTCTGTTACTAGAATATTAGGATGTCATAACACTTGCTATACAAGTATCTTAAAATGAGAACCAGAGAACCACAGACTTGAAGTCTATTTCAGCCTAACATTTCCCAGCATTGTTTTGCTCAGCTCTTAGGGTGGAAACTTGAATGAGTACCTGAATTCCCCATGTGTTGCATGGTGGAAATGGGTGCATGGGACTGTTGCTATCAGGATGATAAGCAGAGATCCCGTAGCTAAGCAGTGGGAAATGTTGAAGGAGACTGGTTTTTCAGGGTTTTTTTTAAATTTAGGTTTTAATTCAAGAGTCTTTCCCATAATGGATAGTGCTGGCTTAAGCAGCCCTGACAAATATCCCTACCTGTGTGCTGCTACTCAGTTCTGTCTGTACAGCTGTTTGTACTGCTGTATGAGGAACTGTGTTAAGGTTTGAGGGCAGTGGGTTTATGGTATTGAGGTTTTTATTTTTTCTTCTTCCTGAAGAAAAGGAAGGAGGAGCTGTGGCTATCAAAGACAAGTGCCCTAGGAATTCCGTGACAGATGGGGACTAGCACCTTTGTCCTCTCTTCTGGAATTGATTATAAAAGCTTTTCCTTCTGAAGACTGAAGGCTGACTGTCTGCTATTTAAGATAAGACTGCAGGAAAACAATCTGTTCTTACATGTCTTCCTCATGTGTTACTAAAAAAATGTAAAAAAGGTAAAAGCTGGAGCACTTGCTTGCCCAGAAAGTACTAAAATCTGATTTTGAATCTTTATCTTTTATTTTGCAAGTATTGTTCTTATATATTGCAAAAAGAAATGTCTGGAGAGAGAAAGCAAAGTATACTTAGTTTTCTGCCTAATGTTTAGGTTATCAACAGAGAAAGGAGTCCTAAATTCTGTGGTTTATGCCTCCCCCCTGCTGCCCCCGTTTTGTGTAGATTTTTTTTTTTTTTTCCCCTTAGCAAAAGGTATAGGCAATGGTTTCAGACTCCAGGTTCTCTAAATGTCCTGGTACTGGGTGACAGAGTCTGCAGACTACTTAAGGAGATGTTGCTTCTAAAAGAAGTAGATTCTCCTGGCAGGAGCACTGGCTTGTGCAGCTTAAAATGTTTGTGACACTGTCATTGGCTACCTGACTGCTTTCTGCCTCAGTGGCACTGAGAGGAAAGTGAGGATGAGAATTGCATCCAGTTGAAGATGCAGCTCATGTCTTGAGCTTTGAGTGACTATTCTTCCTAGCAGACTGCTATGGTGTGGGATGTGGTTACTACCCTGTTGGGTTGTATGCATGATATTATTTTCAGCTCCATTCTGTTACTAAGAGGCTAAGAGGCATTTGGCATCTTGATCCACAGGTGCATGGTTTGGAGTGTGTAGGTGGTAGGTAGGCAGTAACATCTTCAGTTCTGTAAAACTTCGTTCATTACTGAACTTAATGCAATAGCAGAATTCTTAGGGAAGTCAAGTGGGCAACTATTGCTGATTTTAAACAATTTTGTGGCTGCAAGTCTAAGTGCATTGTGGCTGCATAAGCAGGAACAGATTTCTTATGCAGCTGCAGTTGTTTATGCATTTGTAGTGACTCAAATAGTGACAAAAGATGCGTGTTACTCTATGTGCCAAGAAATTAGCACCTAGACTGTTGAACCATTGTTCTTGAAAGGATATTTATCTGTGAAGGGGACTTAAAACCTTATTTCTTTTATGGCTAGCCTAGACTGTTCATCTTATCAAGAGAAATAAAGCAGATTGTAGTCATTAGTTCTTCCCTATAATCTCATTAATGTTGTTTTGTTTGTTCTTCAGAGTTTTATTTCTGACCTACAGTTTTTATTTTCTAGGTGACAAAACAGGAACAAGACCAGAGTAAGTGTTCAGATTTTCTTTGCATACCATGTCTTATTGGAAGACAGTTGAACTAAACATGTTGGCTTTTCTACTACTTCGATCTTGAAAAAGGCATAAACGTAAATAACCAACTTTGGCGATATGGACAATTCACTTATGGTGGTTCATCATTTTAAACACTGCAGTTTGCCCATCAAATGCAGTTCCTGCATGTTATCTGGCATCTGCCATAAACTGATCATATGGTCTGAAAAATGGTTTCTGCAAACGTGTACAATGCTTGCACCACAGGCTTGGACACTGGCATGGTGTATGTGTGCATTAATCCAAATCATTCCTAGTTGTGGCATGTGTGCAATGGGTGCAAAACTGTTTAATCAGTCATTTGAAGGTTTTCATGACATTTAGTAGTCATGCAAAGATGTTTGGCAGTATTAAAGTACCATCTAAACATGCACTGTCTCTTGTAGAGATAGCAAAGCCCTAAAGGATGAAAATCTACCTCCAGTGATCTGTCAAGATGTAGAAAATCTACAGTAAGTGGTGTTTTTTATCTGTGATAGTTGCATAGCTGAATTATTGTATACTGTCGATGCTCTGTGACAAAAACACCCTACTGCAGGCTGCATACAGGATAACCTACTAGCCCAGGACCTTTTGGCAGGTTAGCCTTGGGAACAGAGGTGGATAGCTGTAGTATCTGAAGTCTTAGACTAGTTTTTTTTTTTCCATCCTCGCTTTTCCATGCATTTATGCAAATGGACATGCGCTACAAATATGCTGGTAGAATCTGATCCATCTCTCCCTGGAAGTATTAAGCCTGTTGCACATGCTTAGTAAGTGTTGAACCTTATGTCCACATTGGATGTGCATTGTGGATCTCGTATGAAATAGAGAGAACTGTGAAAGAGCCTACCCTCAGGCAGGAAGGAGGCAGATTGTAGACTAGTCCAACAGGCTGCATGTCGCTGTATTTGTGAGTTCGAAGTAGTAATCACTTTTACATAGATACTATATATTATAATATTATATATATATAAAATAATTGATATATC